TTCCGATGATGATACAGGTACAGAATATACTCGCCTCAAGGGCACTTGATTGTCTACAATTTTAGAGTAGGCTATGGGATTCAAGAATTGTGTATTTACAGGCGTGATGTAGGACTCTGGCGTTGAGTACACGGCTGAATATGAAATGGGCACAGGTGTGGAGTACACCGTTTTGTCAGATATTGGCGTTTCAGATGATGAATATCCCGAAAGATGAGTTCCATGAGTAACTGGTATGGAGTTCGTACGAGATATTAAATTAAATGATGTTAAAGGCACGGAATATGTTCTGAAAGATGAACTGTGGTCGGGCTTAGAATAAAAATTATAGAAGGAGTTATTTGCAGCATTGCCTGTAGAGTATGTTGTAGATTCTATCGCCGGTGTTGATGGCGTTGTATTTATGCCAATGGATGACTCGTAAGCTATTCTTGGTTCAACATACGAAGCGGAACGGTACGTTGTTTCGGGGTTAAGCACCGTTACAGAAGAAATTTTTTGTGGCGTCACTGGTGTAAATGTACTAGAAGAAGAATCCTGGCCTGTTGCAACTGTAGAGTACGAAGTAGGGAGTGCCTCTACAGGCTTGGAGGTTGTATGGTAAGAAATAGGTGGTGCTGGTGTAGTGTTCTTAAAATATGACGTTGAAGACTCGGGGGTCGAGGAAACACTAGAGAAAGTTGCGGGTGTAGACGTGATGGAGTACGTCTTAAGATTAGGTGCAGGTGTCGTTGGTGATGTTGATGCTGTAAAGTATGATGTTGGTGTAGCTGGTGTCGAGTATGTTCTAAAGTATGATACAGGTGTTGCAGGTGTGGAGAATGCTGTTGGATATGGAGAAGCCGATACAGTGTTAAAGTAGGACTTAGGGAAAAATGTGGAATCTGCGAACTTCGAGAATACATTAGATTGAAAATCTGTAATCTCTGGTTTTGAGTAATGAAAAGAGGAGCCTTGTGTTTGTGTGGGAGTAGAAAACACTGCATAGGGAGTAGTGTGCTTCAAATATGACGTTGAAGACACGGGGGTTGAGTAAATAGTAGAAAAGGGTGCGGATGTAGACGAAACAGAGTACGTCTTAAGATTAGATGCAGGTTTGTTTGGCGATGTTGATACTGTATAGTAAGATGTTGGTGTAGCTGGTGTCGAGTACGTTCTAAAGTATGAAACAGGTGTTGCAGGTGTGGAAAATGTCGTTGAACGTAATGAATCCGACACAGTGTTAAAGTAGGTTTTAGGGAAAGATGTGGAATCTGCGGACTTTGAGAATACGTTGGATTGGAAATCGGTAACCTCTGGTTTCGAGTAATGAAAAGAGGTTCCATATTTTCGTGTAGGAGTAGAAAACACTGCAGAGGGAGTAGTGTGCTTTAAATATGACGTTGAAGACGCGGGTGTCGAATAAACAGTAGAAAATGTTGCGGGTGTAGACGAAATGGAGTACGTCTTAAGGTTAGATGATGTCGTAGGCGATGTTGATGCTGTAAAGTAAGATGTTGGTGTAGCTGGAGTCGAGTATGTTCTAAAGTATGATACGGGTGTTGCAGGTGTGGAGAATGCTGTTGGATATGGAGAAGCCGATACAGTGTTAAAGTAAGACTTAGGAAAAGATGTGGCATCTGCGGACTTCGAGAATAAATTAGATTGAAAACCTGTATTCACTGGTTTCGAGTAAAGAAAAGAGGATCGGTGTGTTTGTGTAGGAGTAGAAAACACTGCAGAGGGAGCTTCATACGTTGTAACTGTTGCAGAGTATGGTACTGCTGAAAAATACGTTGTAGGTCTTGACACGTATGAGGGAGATATATATTTAGCGGGGAATGAGTTATATTTTAAAGGAAAAGTATTAGGGTAAGAACTGTAGGTTGTTCCCAACTCAGTGGGCGCATCTAACCTATAACTGGTTAATGGTGCAAAATCTGAGACTAAACTATGTTTTTTAATAAGATTCGAATGAGTGTCCAAGTTTGAATCAAATTTTGATACAGGTTTAGAGGATGCTGATTGTGAACTATATGTTGAGTCGGAGTACTTCGTAGGGTAGGTATTGTTTGTATTAACAGAGTTGATTGTGACGGGAGAGGTATATGTCTCATAATATGAAGTATTCGTTGAAATCGGCTTAGACAAGGAATCATAAACTCCAAAAGAAGAACTGTTTACGGAAAAGGGATTCGAGTTTGACGATAAATTGAAACCTTGGTTTGATATGGGCTGTAACGAAACCTTATAGGGCGAATTTGATCCGTCTTGTGCCACATGATCTTGTGATGCTACCGATATTGACGATTCGTTATTTGTGACAGGAGAGGTGTATGTGTCATACTCTCCGAAAGACGACCCGTTAACGGACAAGTTTGTTAAATTGAAATCCTGGTTTGTTATAGGTTGAGAATAAGTTTCACCTGACGGATTTTGTTCCGATACTAAAGTGGAATAAGATCCCAGTGGTAATTGTTGTTGATCTACAGGCGAATTTGCTGCTAAAGACGAGTCTTTGCTTGCTTCAGATTTATACGTGTTAATGTAGAATTCATTAGATGATCCAAGAGCAGCGTGTGACGTAAAAGATGATCCTTCAGGATAGGTATATTGAGCACCGTCCGACGATACGGATACCGGCTGTGTCGCGTTATGAACCTAGAACGTAAAATAAATAATTATTGTAGTAAACGAGAATGATGCTGACGAGAATAGCTTAAAATTTTATACGTAAATACCAGCGTAAAATAGCAGCTTAACACTGCTGTGTTTCGTATGGTGAGTGTAGAGAACCGGAGACCCTTTTTACTGCAAAAAGATGCATTCCATCTTAGTCCTCACGGGTGAAAACGCATCTACATCTGGATTAGCAAACGAGGATGGATGTAGATGTCTATGCGCCACAGCAACCACTTAGCATCAGGTGGACTGTGTGCTCTTTTATCACCCTATCCTATAAAAATAATACGTAAACACATAGGATTTACTATAATAAAAAACGCCTTAATAAAAAATCGCGGTTGCCAATTCGCCTTCAAGCGTGTTAGTATTGCAAACATTCCGAATGGCTAATATTATAATAAACGTAGTACAGTCACGTTGCTGATATATTATGGTTGTAGCACGAATGGATCAGGTCGAATGGGGTCCACGGTCTCACAGAATACCAGCGTAGAATAGCAACTTAATGCTACTGTGTATCGTATGGCGAGCGTAGAGAACCGGAGATCCCTTTTACTGGAATAGAGGCATTCCATTTTAATCCTAGAGAGTGACAACGCATCTGGATTTTGATTCTTAACTGAGGATTAATTTATATGTCTACGGGCCACATCATACACTTACGATTAAGTGAACTGTTTTTGTCACCGTAATTCTATAAAAAAAACCCTCTATGGAGGAGGCCTATATTCAGTAGTGGACTCTTGATAGACTGTATGTAATAAAATGAAGTATATCTTACTATATAAACAAACTCTTAGACCTTCAGCGGACTTTATTAAAAAGGAAAGATGCCAAAAATAAAACATACCTGTAGTGGATGCTCGAATATATGGTCAGTAGGATTCCTGTAGAATTGGTCGGAGGTAGAGAGTTGCTCGCCAGCACTCACCAACGTCACAATAGATAGGATAAGCTGTAATTAATAATAGTGCACTGTCAGCAATAGTAAATAGCATATTTTAAAATTGTTAAAATAAAATTTATTCGTCAATGATTACGGGTTACTGTTATCATTGAGACATAAAATGCTGCAGATAAGAAATCTGTACACATATAAATAAAATTGAAGTGTATGTCTGTAATATTGAAATAACTAGCTTTTACTATGCATAGGGGATTATTTGCATGCTATTGAGACATAAATTGTAAAAATGTTGTCTGTCTATTTTTAAAAATTTCTGAATCAATTATGATGAAACTATACGAACACATAGACAGCAATGTCAAGAGGGATCTTGGATATATTTTATCTATATTATCCATAGGCTATGTTTATCAAAAAATTTAAAGATTTTATTTTGTCTTTGCTTATGTTTAATTTAAATAACACAACATTAATAGATCCAGTTCAAGCAAAGCCGGGGCGGAACGCTTGGGCTATTCACAATCGTCTCGGAAAGCGAAATCGACTCGGATTCGATAACTTCACGCACCGAAACCAATAAACGCTATTCACATTTAACGTTCGGATAAAGGCACTTAGATACATTCCATAACGATTGTATCGTCATTTAGTTACATGCATTTACGAATTTTGTAGATAAAAAAGCATTTTGTTTTATTTTTTAGAGTAACGCCTGAACAAAAACATAAGGCAATATTTTGGTGTTAGCCATTGATATCGAATACAAAAAAATATATAATTTAACTATATAATAAATAACAAAAAAACTGAGATATGTCTCGTTTCTGTCGGGTCTGGGTTTTTTTCTATGGGGCATCTTTTACTGGACACTTACTTTGTAGACATGGGTCGTCTTATTAAGGGCCAGTCATTAATTACGTAAGGATGATTTTGCCGATTTTGACCCCCCCCCCCAAGGGGTAAGGGGTAAGGAATCATAATGTTTCTTGCCCCCCCCCCCTCTTCTAACGTAAGATTCTATTTCATTTTTCAGAATAATAAAATGTTGCTAGAAAAGCATCAGTAATATCATATATCATAAATTTGTTTATTTAAACTTATGTCATCAACACTGGCGTTACATATTTTGACTATGACTATAGACAAATGGCCAATTTAGTGGTAGGACTCCTTTTCTGCCTAAAAGTCGGTGTGGAGGCACCGCCTTCTAAACTACTTCTGCCACCAAACAGTCAGCGTGCACTGCTGTGTAAAGGTGTGAAGGGTATAGAGGGGCAGTATAATTAGATGCTGTGGGGCCTTTCATCTTAATCCTCAGAGGTGACAATGCATCTTTAGCCTTCTTAATTTGAGGCTGGTTGCAGTTGTCCTTTAAAGGCTGCAAGACTTACCATCAGGTGGACAGTGAGTTCGCTGTTTAATATCAAACTTAAATTAAGAACGCAAAATATAGTTTGTCTCTCTTGCTTTTCCTTCTTGTCTTTTGACAGCACCATTGCAGGCTCAACGCCTCTTTCCGTATTTAATTATAATATGTTATTAGTACAAATTTAATACGTGGTATTGCCATGCTGCAGCTATATTAGTAGTATAGTTGTAGCACGAATGGGTCGGCTCGACCGGGGTAGGGCCACGTTCTCACAGAATACCAGCGTAAAATAGCAGCTTAACACTGCTGTGTTTCGTATGGTTAGTGTAGAGAACCGGAGACCCTTTTTACTGAATAAGAGGCATTCCATCTTAGTCCTCACGGGTGACAACGCATCTGCATTTTGATTCGCAAACGAGGATAAATGTAGATGTCTATGGGCCACAGCAACCAATTATCATCAGGTGGACTGTGTTCGTTTGTCACCCTATCTAAAAAAAAAACCTATGTCTGTAATCTTAAAATAAATATGTTTGTAAAGTTTATAACACTTTACATATTTCTATTTTAGCAGGCAACAATCAGTATTTTATCATAATATATCATATTGTGATACGAAATAGTCAACATTCGTTTTACACTTCAATTTTATACAAATAAAAAACCTTAATTGATTATATTATGTCATCTCTAAATATTGTACAGAATAATGCAATAAATAAATTATATAATTATTATTATTAGTATGAACAGCTTCTTATTCTGTATGGTAAATTCTAGTTGTTGATCCTCTCGTTGTTCACAAACCACACCCACAACAAGTAAACATATCACTGACGTCAATATATCCAGAATTTAAAGCTTCTTATATTATTTTATTGAAAAATATTTAACTACTTTTTTATTTTAAATAAGTGGCCAGTCCCTATTTAATACAGAAAAAGGTTCTCTAATACCATATGGAAAACTCACCAAACTCTTCATTTTGTCAACATTTAAACAGGCACTCGCGAATCAGCTTTACAAAGGAGAACCAATTGGAAACAAACTTTTGACACGTCTTATATAGACAGTATATGGAACTAGGTAATAATAGAAGATCAATCTATATTATTATTATATATTACAAACGAGATTTTACATTCAAGCGACCGGTCATAAAATAAAGATTAATAAAGTTGAAAGTTCAACACAGAATGAGAAACGCTTTAAGATTATCTTAGTTTTATGCTTTTTACTGTTCTTATTACTGTATATCTCATGTTACCATATTACTAAACTGATATAAAATATTAAAAAACAATTATAATTATATAAGTTTGAACACACAAAACTTCACCAAGTGTGTATATTTCTAAACGAGTAACCGAAGACTTGGCGTGACTTTAAAATTCGTGACATTTTGATAAAACTTTATACATAATGAAGTATGAAATATAAATACCAAATATAATAACGTAATGTAAAAGCGTAACATTCACTGGTTAGTAGCACCCACTGGTGTGTTTGGAGAATGTAAGGGTGGGTCACAGGTGTGGCTGTGAGGCATTCCATCTGACTACAGGGATGGCAACGCTTCTATGGCCTTCTTTGTTTGAAATAGATTGCAAGCGTGAATTGGATGCATTAACCACATACCATAAGGTGGACGGTTAACTCATCATTATCATTACAGCCCTTCACAAGTCCAGTGCTGAACATAGGCCTCCCCCAAGGAATGCCACAAAGCACGGTCCTGAGCCACTTGCATCCATCGACTTCCTGCATATCTTACCAGGTCGTCACTCCATCTAGTGGGGGGACGCCCTACACTTCGCCCGCCGGTACGAGGCTGCCACTCGAGAACCTTTTTTCCCCATCGGTTGTCGGTTCTTCGAGCTATATGGCTGGCCCATTGCCACTTCAGCTTACTAATCCGTTAACTCATTGACTAATTTGTAACTGTCTCAAATGTGCGAAACGTGGTACTGCAATCGTCACCTCCCGACAACGGAAGAACCCATATAAAACAGCTGATGATAAAGAAAACAGGGGTTAAGTGAATGAAACTACTTATACGGATTTTATCGCGTTTATTAATACTTATTTTTAATTTTCGCCGTTTCGGCTGTTTTGCAGACCCAGGTCACGGAGGACTGAGGTGATTGACGTCCCGATGTAGAGTTAGCCCGGAGTACTTTCAGCTTTTTAATTGTTACTTTTGGTCCGATCTACGCAGGACGAACTTACTGTGTCTTGAAGTCTTGCAGTGGTATGCTTGGGTTTAGATTTAATTTTATTAATTACAGGATCCCAAGCAGGTGGTAATACCCAGCCTCCCTGTCTATTGAAATTAGGATATTTTTTTTTAATTTCAATAGGTCCATGTATCATCCTTGGTAGGAATCGATGTTCCTTCGCGAAGATGTGTGATCTATCAAATCTGATGTAAGGGCGGTGCCATGCCATCTAGGATATGATCACAATCTGCAGACTTTCTGGAGCGTTGGTGTTTCACGTCAGCTATATGTTCTTTTACGCGGGTTTTTATTGATCTTTTTGTTTGCCCTACATACGAGAGACCACATTCACAACGAAGCTTGTACACTTCTGCATCTTTTAGAGGAATATTACATTTGACGGATGGTAAGAACTGTCTAATCTTCTTCGGCGGCTTATGGAATGTTCTTTTTTATAGAAGCTCGCTTCAAGATATAGCCAATCTTGTCTGTGATACCTCTGACATATGGTAGTACAGTATGCACACGCTCAACTGTGACCGGCTTCACTTGGTCTCTGTGACCGAGTGAACCGGTCGTGCAAAACCTGCTTGACGTGCTGAAGCTCGTCGGCCAAGTGTTTGTTGTCACAGATCCCCGTGATCTCTGTAACAAAGATTTGGCCCACGGTAGCTGTGTAACAGTTAGTATGGGTGTTTTTCCTATACACAGTGTGCCCTAAGGTGTTGTTAGGATTTTGGATGACTAACACATCAAGGAAAGCTAAGAAATTATTTGCCTCTAACTCCATAGTAAATTGAATTTTGGAGTTTATTTAGGTACTTTGTCTGATAGTAAAATTGTGAATATATGTCCTAGTGAATATATTGGCAACGATGGGAGACACATATGAGCCCATCAGTACACTATCTACTTGCTTGTAGAATTCTTCCTTTACAGTGATTATGTAAAAAATCATTACTACTTGCTTCATTTATATTCTTACTCCTGCAATATTTTAATAGCAAATTGCATTAGTAACAAAAGTAACTATTGACAATTTTCTTGTTTCTTTGGTAATAGATTTGTGCGGTTGCACTTTCGCCAGTGTATAGTTAATAAGTTATTATTTTTAATCATTTGTTTAAAAACCAAAAACTGTCGTAATATCTTTGTATATTATTTAAAAATGTATAATGTATTTTTGCATGCAGGTGGCTCAGAACCGTGCTTTGTGACATTCCTTGGGAGAGGCCTATGTTCAGCAGTGAACTTATGAAAGACTGTAATGCTGATGATGAATGTATTTTTGAAAATACTACTACAGCTAGTATGTGCACATTATAATCTGTATTTTCAGAGTCAATGCTACAGTGTTCGTTTAATTTTAAAAGTACTGAGTCAGAGCAATTTAAAAAAATACTTTTTTTTAAATTTTTGCTTGTGTCATTTAAGAAGTTAAGTTAGAACTGTTCCCGAAGCTAAGTAGTTTGGTTTACACCAATTACATAGTTGCGAAGTACTATTTAAGGCATCAATCAACATATGACAATTTATAACCGGTCAGAACCACTTTTCACTGCGAAAATCAGGCAAAAATGATTTTGGCCGACGCCCTTAGTCAAAAACAGTTTTGACTGAGTTTCATAGTTAAAAGTGGTTTTTACCAACGTTCTCGGTTATAAGTGGTTTAACTCATGTTCTAGTTCAATTCTTTCAATATAATATTGCATGCCTTAAGCGCGAAGCGCGCAGGTATGTTCTGCTTGGTACTAAAAATTAAGATTCCAACGTTGGCTTATGGTGTGGATTTATCATGTCCGCATGGCAGCGTAAACACGAAAACTTTTGAAAATATCAACTGTTCAACTCAATCTATTTTTAAAACTCTTCACCTTTCACGTGGGAAGCCATGGAATGTTAATGGCAGTTTAATTTTGTTTTGTTTAGTTATAATTATTTTTTTTTCGGCTGCAAAATGTCGAAATTTGCGGTGTTTTGGCAGCCTTATATTAATTTATTTTACTAAATAGACTTCCACACTCACTCACTTTGACGTCAAACGCCGTCGTGAGTGGATACTGTATCGGTTGTTTGCAGCGGCTCAAAAAGATCGCTTTACAAATTAATAAAAAATATTCGAAAAACAAAATTTCATACATGCTTCATTATTATAATAATAAGAGATTTTTATTATAATATTTTGAAAGCACTGAATCAATAATAGCAGTACGTACTAAAAAAAAGTAGGACGTATATATTTATACTTAAATAAGTCTTGGACTTTATGGAGTGACCTGAATGATGATATGATGATCATATAAGCATTATGAGTCGTGCACTTTTGGATTTACCAAACTTTTTTTTAAATTGAAGTTTGACATAAAATTATCGGAAAATTGGAAGTATAATATTATAATATTAGTGAAAACTTGTGTGTATTTAAACTACTTTAAAAAAATCTGTATAATCATGTTATAGGTAATTTTTTTAAAGCGCTTAGGGCATGCACAGTTGGATTTACCAGTATTCTAATTATATTTTAATTTATTTATGGTTAACGATTATATCAAAATAATGTACGCGGCTTTAGAGTGTCCCAAGGGCCACGCCAGCCGCACCTTATCTTACTGTCACTGATATTGCAAGATTGGTGTAATGTTAAGTACGAATAAATATCAGAGTATAATATAAAAACATATATATACCAGTCAAAAGTAGTTTTGACCAACATCCTTGGTCAAAACTACTTTTGTCTTATTTTTGCAGTCGAAAGTAGTTTTGACCGGTTATGAGCTTTGACTTTAACATATAAATATAAATAGTAAAGATAGACGTTATTAAAAATTTCAGATGTGAATAAAAAGATCATAGGAATTAAACCAAAAAATTCTTTATTAAAGCAAGTATATTGAAATAAGACACATACCCGTAAATTTTAGTACCATGGGTCGTTGTTTACGGTTTGGTAAGTGGGCGACGACACTACGTACTGAGTGCGGGGCGCCTGTTGTACGGAGTAAGTGGGCACCTGTTGTACGGAGTAAGTGGGCGCCTGTTGTACGGAGTATGTAGTCACTGTTGATGGTGATTGTACTTTGTAGTGGGAGGTAGAAGTCGTTTTCGAGGAATGCTCAGCGTCGTACACTGTTGGTGCTGAAACTTGGGATGTTTGCGTGTACACTGGGCTTGAATATACTTGAGGGACGGCTGCGGTGTATGTTGTTGGGTACGAGACGTAATTCACAGGCTGTGTCCGGTATGCGTTGTATACTACAGGAGACGATACTGCACGGTACACGGGCGAAGAAACCCCTTGTGTCTGAAAAAAGAAAACAATATGATAACATTGTAAGAACTTGGCTGTATGATGTTTGAAAAAACGGCGTCAATTTTGTTCAAACAAATTAATCAAATGAAACTTGGTGTAAACCTGTACTTAAAAGCCTAGAGAGCTATTTTTTTCAGGTTTATTATTATATAATATAATACTAGTGATCCGCCCCGGGTGATTTCTGTATCTCGAAAACAACGCCATCTATCGAATCTAATTGTGAATCTAATACATCAAAGGACACACTCAGACGCACACAAAACATTTCATCAAAATGGTTCGCGCCGTTTTTGAGCTTTAGTTATTGTTTATTCTGTGGTTTAGCGAGACTAAGGGACAGCAATTGATTTTTACATATAGACTTATAATTGCTTTATCAGAAATGGTTTCTACAATTTGAATGAAGTTTTGTATTTTATGTTTTACTAGGTTAATTTAGAATCTAGATAGAACTCATTCATTTATCCTCCTGATTACTAATAATTCATTTCTAAGTTAATCAGGGCCTGATTTACACACAGGGTAACCAGGCTAGAGCCGAGGTCGTAAGACTCGAGGGGGCGCAGATATTGTTTTTGTAAGTTACTCCTTATGTACAGAATAAGATTTGGTATAATATTCTCAATAAGTAAGAAAGTAAGTGCCTTTCTTTATGCTTGGTACAAAACTAATAAATACATTGTAAAAATAAGACATAGAATTATTTCGTACATTTTGTCTTTAGTCGAATAATTGGACGTGATTCATACATAGAATTTAATCTGCTCAAGCTCTCTTCTCTACCACACCACATACCATGCCGCGTTGTGAATGCTCCATGCTAGATGTACGGTTTACACAGCGCTTTGTGTGTAATATTTAAAATTATTTTGTTAAACTCTCTTTAAACTGTGATTATATGTTGTTGTTACTGGTTGTAGAAGCTGATGATGCTTCTTTGCCGGACGTGCTAATATTTGTCGTGAACACGTCATCAAGTATCGGAATAAATTTGTGTCTTAAGTGGAGTCTTTAATAAACAAAATCTCAGCATTGGAGACTACTCTAGTTAAGTTTATACTTCAGAAGACACACTTTGCGCGTTTACCGCCAAAAAGGACCCCTTTGCTGTTTGGATCTTTTCAATTTCAGGGCACTCCCCATGCTGCTTCAGTCAGCATCCAAATCCCCTACATCGACATTTCATCTTCTATGTCACTTGGAAGGTAAGACTAAATTGGCCTCTAAAAAGCTTGGCATCCTCAACAGAGCGGGAAAGTATTTCATACCGACACACCGCTTGCAACTTTATAAGGCGCAAGATCATCCTCACACGGAGTACACGGGCAACCAAGTGCCAGCTCCTGCGAAGAGTGGCACAAAACGTCGACGACAGAGATATTTCTGATCGACTTGATTCACTGGCGCTGCGAACAGATGTTGCATCCCATAGCATTTTCTATCGCATTTTCTACGGGGAGTACATAGAGAAATTGATTGGATTAATTCCAGCCGCCAAATTCCATCAACGCACATCGGGGCAAAATGTATATACATAGTGCTGCCGGAACTTTAAATTAGGCACTGAAGTTAATAAACATTGGTTAAATATATTTTTATAAGATCTTGGCGGCCTTTTATCAACAGAAACAGAAACAGAAACTTTTTTAATCAATATAGATTATAAATAATACTTATTGAAATTCACTCTTTTGTATAATTACCACTGGTTCGAAAAAAAAACCTCTGTCCTGGGAAGAACCAGCAAGAAACCCAGCGGGAGTTTTTTTTTTTAAATAACAGCTTACAATCATGTATGTTACACAAATTAACAACACAACAAATTAGAAATAGCTTGGTAGCGATCACCTCATTTCCAGGGGTTATTATCATCTATAAATTCTTTAATATTATAATAACCCTTTTTATACAAACTTAGTTTAATAAAGTTTTTGAACTTTGAGCAGGTCAAATTTTGTATATTTTCTGGGATTTTGTTGTAAAAGCGTATACATCACCCCAAGAATGAATTACTGACTCGATGGAGTCGAGTAACTGGTACTACTAGCTTGTGTCTGTTCCTAGTATTTACAGAATGAATATCACTTATTTTTGTAAAACTACTTTTATTTTTGTGTACGTACATTACATTTTCATAAATGTATTGAAAGGTCAAAGTTAATATATTAATTTCCTTAAATTTTTGTTGCACTGACTCTTTAGGCTTTAAATCATAAATTGCTCTTATGGCCCTCTTCTGTAAAACAAATATAATTTCAGTGTCAGCTGCGAGTCCCCGTAGCAAAATACCATACGACAATATGCTATGGAAATAGCTAAAGTAAACTAGTCTAGCTGTTTCAACACTAATTAGACTTCTAATCTTTTTTACGGCATATGCTGCAGAACCAAGTCTGCTTACTAGTTTTGATATATGGGGGCTCCATTGAAGCTTTGCATCTAGTGTGATTCCAAGAATAATGGTGGTATCTACAAGACTCAGTGTCTCCCCATTTAAAAATTGTTTGATATTTGGATTCATAAATTTCATACATTTCGTTTTAGTGCCATTTAAATGCAAATTATTAACATTGAACCAATTTACTAATTTAGATATATCATTATTTACTTCGTCATATTTTATCAATTGTCGACTTAATTTGAAAATTAAAGAAGTGTCATCTTTAAATAATACTATATCATGTTGAAACAGAAAGGGGCCGAGAATTGAGCCTTGAGGCACGCCCATTTGTATCATGGACCCGGAAGAACTCATACTGTTAATGACAACTTTTTGCGATCTCTTACTTAAATATGAAATAATTAATTAAAGAGCATTACTTTTTACACCGTAGTGTTGAAGTTTGCTGATTAATGTTTCATGGTGAACACAATCAAAGGCTTTGGATAGGTCTTTTATATTACAAGCCGTTTATTCAAATTTATTTGATGTATATGTCACAGTCAATATTCATAACCGGTCATAAATGGTTTTTAACGATGCCCTTAGTCAAAAACAGTTTTTACTGATTTTTGTAGTCGGAAGTGGTTTTAACTTCAGTTTTCAATTTCAGAAGTCCAAAAAGTATAACTTAAAAGTAGTTTTGGCTACCATTCTTTTTCAAAACCACTTTTAACAGATGTAATTTGGTCAAAGTCACTATTACCCAGTATTTCTGCAGTTAAAAGTGGTATTGACCAACATCCTTAGTCAAAATTACTTTTGCCCGATTTTTAGCAGTCAAAAGTGGTTTTGACCGGTTATGAGTTTTGACTGTAACATATACATATATCATCTTAATTACGTCCTGTATTACGTTATTGATTTAGTAGGTAACTCAGTTATTTTCGGTGTCTATTAGAATAATGAATTATTCATTTCATCAACTGGAAGAGCCATTAATTATGAATAATGACCCAAATACCTTTTGAAAATGGGTTGAGAATATATTTAATTTATTTTAAAAGAACGCGTACTAGTCGAAACTGGCACATAATAAGGACCAATTAAGAATAATAAATTTAAATTCTTAATTTTTCCTTATTTCACTTGAATGTTAAAGCTTACGTAAGTCAATTCCTTATTAGAATTTTTTCGTACCCTGTAGGAATGAAAATATAATGTATTACAACCGTTCATCAACCTTTTTAATTATATCCCTTTTTTATATAATAAGTGTGATAAACGAGCAAACAAGCCACCTGACGTAAGTAGATGCTGCAGCCCATAGACATCTACATGTATCGTCGATTAAGAATCAAATGCATCAAATGAATGCAGATGTATCACCATCTCTAGTGAAAAGTGTCTAATGCTGCCGTGAACCACTCCTAACACTTTTAAGTTCAGCTGGAGTGGTTTACGAGAATAGTAGTAATGTTTAAAGGTCGGTAAAACACCTGCAATCCCCCCAGTGTTGCAGTTGTTTATGGGCGGCGGTCGACACTTACCATCAGGTGAGTCGCTTGCTCGTTTGCCACTCTAGTACTTTAAAAAAAACTTATTATACCACATATTGTTGATTTGTTGTGTAGACAGCGGGAGATACAACGCCGAAGCTCCTCTTGTCGCGACCTTCCACAGAAGCGCTGGCAGCGACAGCGATCACCGCGAAAATAACCTGGAAAAAGAAATCCAGTCAATCAATAAATTTTCATGATATTCACATGTAATAACTCATTAAGAGGTTATATAATAAAAATTATTAAAAGTATGAGACGATTCAACTAACTCTTACGTAATTAATTAACTATTATCTATACCTACAAGTACATAAAATCCAAGTGTCTGTATGTAATATTTAAATAAGTTTTATTGAGCTGAGGGGGTTACTTGCATACTATTGAGACAATAATAATTATATTTAATTTTTGTCTGACTGTCTGTTTGGGCTAATCGTTAGAATGGCTGAATCGATTGTGATTAAACGTCACATTCAGATCATCATCTAGGCATAGACCATCATTATTCTGCTAGAAATGATGAAGCCTATTTATCTATAAAAAACTTGTTTTATTTTTGGAAAATCGAAAAAATTGTAAAAATTGTGATAAAATTATTGGTGATCATAAACCTAAATGACGCCTGATTATTAGATCCAAGCCAAGCAAAGCCGGGGCGGGTTGCTAATTACAGTACCATACGGCAACTGCTAAGGTGCTGGTAACAATCTCACACGTAGTGTGGCGTGAGAGGCGTCATTAAACGATATCACCAAACTAACATCAAGGCAAGGCAAATAAGGGTATTTCGCCATAGTTGCCACACTTGGCAGGCGGGTTGACAACCACAGTTTCTTTTTTTCGGTTGTTATCAAGAAGATATATTATTTTATTATTATTAGGTTATATATATTATATGTAGCTATTGTATGTATTATTTTTATATATGGTATTATTTTATTTTTATTTATAGTATCATTTAATATAATTTACGTATGTTTTTTTTTGTATATTATTTACAGTAGTGTTAGTATTGTACGCACTAAGTTTGCCTTTTTAAATATATTTTCCTTTGTGGGTCTACTGGAAGATATTTCAGGAAATTATGGAATAAGTACAACCTTTGTACAAACTCACTATAAGACTGTTTCTGTATCTTGTTGTGTGTACATAAATAAAATAAAAAAGATGCTGCTGCCCATCACCTACTTCAGTTTCCCTCTGTAATCTCATACGACACCCACGGGATGATATGGACAGTCGATACTCTTACGCCAGTATAGTAAATCCTTGTAACAGTAGCAGAAGCGCATGTACAGCAGTGGACGGTTGGGATTTGATGAAGAAGGACGAGATAATCATCTATTTCGAACAATTCGTCCAGTTTGAGAACTTTGGACTATGGACAGTTTATTTTAAAATAATGATATTTCTCTACGGATTCCCTATACAATAAGTTACCTCTACACTACCTAAGACAATAGTCCCTGGATAACCATTCATT